AACGCTTTTACCAGCAACACCTAATATATGGCGTACCCACCAAGAGAAATCAAAAGACAGAGTCGAGGAGATCGGAAGAGTATATTTGGCGATGACCAATATATCAAAATTCTCTGATCTGATCTGGCTAGCGATTGCGGTTGATGTTGAGCACAGCGTTACCACACGTGATCTGGTGCGGATGCCTGACCGAGCGCCTTCAGCTAAATGAGTCCACTAAAACATATGGTCAGCATCCAATGTCTAAAACATACAGAGCTATTTATTTTGGGGATTTATTTACCGCTACAGATCACCCTCTCTGGTGGGGTACTGACGACCCTAAGACGTGGCCAGCCAGAAGTTTAAACCCAACGAGTTTGTCGTTGGTAAACATTCTTCTGATAGCTTACTAGGTCTAGCAGCGTCTGGTCGTCTTTCCTTACTATATGGGACGGAGGTACAACATAGTAAAAAAGAAAATGTACAATGAAAATTTCGGATCCTCATAAACTTCATCGTTTTTTTTCCAGCCGTCCTGGAAAAGAAAATGTAAGTGCATGTCGAAATACACTCGTATGTTCGTAAAAACACAATGTCGGCGGAAAAAAATGGAAAGTAAACTCAAGCACACGTAATAGCGTTAAAAACAATTTTTGAAATAAAAATAAAAATATATGAGCATATTAAGATTGTTTTCTGAAAAAAAATATTATATATCGTAAAAAGAAAGATCGAGATAATATAAAATGTCGAGTATTGCCTTGCGTGCAGTAGTAGTTTAAATGTCTGGAAATCATACTCTTCCTCCAGAACGTGTCGTTTCGAGTTTATTTTCAGACACATTCGGAGTGTCATCGCTAGTGTTGGTTGTCGGTTGAGGAATTATGAGTGTAGGAGTCGTGTTGTGCGATTGTACCGAAGGGAAGTCGATGTGAATAGGATTTCCTTCTAAATACGCTGCTTTTGAGCTATCGATACTGATGCTGTCGTTGGTTCCGTTCTTATCGACTATATAGTACTTAGATTCGCGTTGAAGAACTTTGAAAGGTCCTTCGTATGCTGATTCGAATGGTCGTCGATGCGCGTCTCGACGAACAAAAACGTGTGTACTATATCGTAAGTCAGGTTGAACGAAAACATCGGTTGATTGTGGTCGAGTGGAAGCAGGTTTAACTTAACGCATTGCGTTTGTAAGCCTGTTCGTGTAGGAGGTTAGATCCATGTTCATTGAAGAGGATGAAGGATCCACGAATTCTCCCTGAAGTCGAAGTGTCGTTCCATAAACGAGTTGAGACGCAGTGTATCCAATGTCAGCCTTGACTGCATTGCGAATACGTAGTAAGACGAATGGAAGAGCGTCGGTCCACTGTGAAACGTTTGCAGCTGATAGCGAAGCTTTTAGTTGTCGGTGAAAACGTTCTACCAACCCGTTTGCTTGTGGGTGGTAGGCAGTTGTTCGGAAGCGAGTGATTCCTAAAAGTGTGGTCAGACAACCGAAAAGTTCAGATTCGAACTGACGTCCGCGGTCTGTGGTGATGGTCAAAGGGCAGTCAAAGTTTGCTACCCATCGTTCGACGAAGGCGCGGGCCACTGTTTCAGAAGTGATGTCCTTGATCCAGATGCTTGAGATGTGATTCTCTGTCCGGACTTGCGATTAGGCAATCGTCAACATACGCATGTACGAAGTTGAGACCTCGAAAAACGTCGTCTATGAACCTTTGGAATGTTTGAGCAGCGTTTCTGAGACCGAAATGGATTCGCAGAAATTCATAGAGTCCGAAAGGAGTAATGATGGCGGTTTTCGGTGTGCCGTCAATGGCTATGGGAATTTTGTTATACGCTTTAACCAAGTCGATATTCGAAAAGACAGTTGTACCTTTCAAGATAGCTGTCAAATCGTGAATGTGAGGCAACGGGTAACGATCGGGAATGGTTTTCGCGTTCAATCGCCGATAGTCACCAGTTGGACGCCAATCGTTGCTGTCATTTTTAGGGACCATGTGCAACGGAGATGCATATGGGCTATTTGACGGTCGTATGATTCCTTAGTCTATCATATGGTCGAAAACTTACAGAGCTATTTATTTTGGGGATTTATTTACCGCTACAGCTTCAAACATAGCAATGTGAAAGCTATAGTCAGAACAAGAACATTTTGGTTGTAAACTTCATTTGCTTCTAAACGTAAAAATATTCGACCAGTAAATTAATTTAAAGAGTTGTAGGCATTAAGTGAAACGCATAAATATACCAACCAGTATTGCGTGTCTCGTCGAATTGAACAAAAAACATGAGATGAAGTCACATTAATGTGACAAGACAATGTCCTTCAGTTGGTAGCCCACAGACATATCAGATAAGGTCGGTCTGGTGGTTGTTTATGCAGCAACTTGACTGACTTGTTATAGTCATAACTAACAGTCACTACTATCAGATCCCACCATGTTCGATCTTTAATCGATGTTGACTCATGTCATTATTAAGTGTCGATGTATTCTATCTGCCTCAGATCACTTTTTCTCTTGTCCTTTTTACTCCTGGATTCTCTTTCACACACACATTTTACTCCACAACGTATCTCTAAGTTAAATTCAAACCAACCGCGAGACGTCATAAGTCATTTTATTTCCTAATTTAAAAGGATAGAAAACGACTACTTAACCACACCCAATAGTTAGTTACTGTATTAAAGATGAATAAAACATGAAAGCTAAAATTCGTTTATCACAAAACGCGATGGAGGTAGAAGTGATATCTCACTTAACAATCTTATGAAATCCATTATTAGCACTAATCGGTCATGCTATTTAGCAAGTTATACTAATTTTGTTGAATGTTTTGTATGCAGATGATAGTCTAAATCATCCAATACACGCTCTCATTCATTTGACTATTGCTTGTTATCGGATAGCTACTTAGTCGAACATTTGGTTCATTTAGTAAACTATCTGTTCAGTCACTCCAAATATTCCAGGATATCCTGTTAACGAATTCCCGTATCATAACACTGGTGATGCTGATAACTAGTCAAGGCGTGAAAGTGTCAGACAGGACCTGGCATTCAGACAGTCTGACATACATTATGGGGTATTTCCATCGTCACAAAGTGTGAATGGGCTTGCCAATTCAGTCTTATATTGAGTTAGGACTGATTTTATAGTTGAGACGTTAATAGCTTATTACATCTCAGATACAAATTACTGACCCATTGAATAAACTTTGCTGCTAAATACAACTCACTCACATATCAGTTAGTTCAAAGATGAACTTAGCATAAGTATGTATGGTCGATGACCTAAAAAATTAGTGAATTTCGAGACTCACAGAACTATTTATGAGTTCTGTGCATACAATAAGAGGTTTCACACTTCATACGTAACCTGTGGGTAAAGTCCTAAGTACAATAGACGATATGCAGAAAAAACAAGCATATTAAAAATATATATTCGTCAAAGGTCATTCGCTAGGATATAACAACTATGGCCCAAACAGTCATAAGAGCCCGGTTAAAAAACTTTAATCCTTAATTTTGTTCACTAGTATCCACAATTTTTTATTTGAACAAAGTAAATACTGTAGTTTTTACTTTGTTCAAATAAAAAATTGTGGATACTAGTCCGTTAGAATATCTGTTCCAGTAATTTTTAATTAATAAAACTGGCATGGATGAACATTGGCGAATAAAATTAGGGATATTAGGAATACTTTAAATAAATAGTGGACCTTCAATGGCGTGATATACCTTGAAAAATGTTCATTAAAGTCTTTAAAAACATCTATTTAAAAATGTTCGTAAACACTAACGAATTATATATTAAACTACTGATTATTAATTACCTACTTCCTATCCTCACTTAGCACCCAAATAAATTCCGTCAGGATTTAAAACAATTTGCTTATTATCGTAAAGCTATTACGGGTTAACCTGGTTAATCGACTACATCATCCACATCAGAAGTACGCGATACTTTTCTAATAACTGTAACCTATACCTCAATAGTTGAGAAAACAAATACAATCCATGCCGTTTACCGGAACTGTGTCCGGTGATAATAGAGTGGAAAGTTTAGAATTTACAGAGCGTTTCATGATATGCATGGGAATCGATTACTCAAATATTATTCACAACACTATCAATAAGATGGGTGATTTTATTTTAGCGACAACTGAATTAAGTTTACTGAGAGACAGCATTGTGACATCGAAAACAAGGCTGCAAGCTGAGCCTCTCAAAATCAACCATTTTATCCGAAATTTAGTCGCTATTGATATTTATGCAACACTGTGGCTGTAAACTATAAAATTCAGGAATTTAAAATGTCCTTCTGCTGCGACAGGTAATCTTAAATGATAGCAACTAAAGTATACTGTATTGGGATGCGATAAAAAAAACTAGTACTTTATGGACTGACAACCGACGTCTAAAGATCAACATTCATTGGAAATATTACTAAAAGCGACTTTGTAAGACCTAAGGTCTTGCAAGTCGAAAAGCAGAATACGATTTAGAATAGTGATTCCAATTGGTTAAACCATGTTTCTTTAGCACTAGTACAACATCCTATTTGCCACCGTACGTCCTGTCCTAGAAAGATGAATTAGTAGTTAATGGGCTCTACTTCCAACTCTTAAGTTACAGGTAAAAACTTCGTTCAACCTACTTTGGTTTTAGTATAGGGTAGTGTCACTAACCTTTAAATCTCGAGTGCCAAGTATATAATTCTGTAATTGATAAGTGAATTACTTTTTTTCCGTCCTAGGAATATTTTCCTATCGCTCGAATTACGATTGAAAACCATATTAAGATCAAGTTTATATCTGAAGTCCGTGACGTCATTCGAGCTTATTACATCGACTAAACACTGTTTCCAAATTTTAACCATCTGATAACCGAAATAGCAGTTTTTTATATCAATTGCCTGGAAGCTGCTGTCACTACATATTAATAAGTACTAACAATTACGTGATATATTTTTGTTGCCATATCCCTTTAAACATCTGTCACAATGAACTAATTCATGATTATACAAAAAGTATTTATTAACATAATATATACAATATATCAGTGTCTATTAAACATTTAATGTCGTCTGTCACGATCTTTATCTCGGGCACGTTTATGATCTAAAATAAGTATTTAATAAAGTTTTTTTTATTACCTGGTGAACGACTATCATCACGTTTGGATCGACCATTTCGACGATCTCCAGAATGACTACGTCTATTAAGAAATGATTAGAAAATGGTAAGACCGAAAAGATACTCAGAAACATTTAGCATTGATGAATAGTTACATAAAACCGAAGTTTGCCTGGTAATTTGTCACTATTATGTGCGAAACAATACTTCTTGTCTGATAAGCCTTAGTAGCTTGACTGATTTCCATTTTACTTAGCTAAATGAAGATAGAATGAGTTACATAAATGAAAGTATCTACCTTGAAGGCTTACCCAATGTGTACCTACTCATGTTACGTCAATTTGGTGCTATTTATTAAGATTGAATTTATTTTATTTGAACATATTAACATCAGTACAGAGAGAGGCACCAAATACATATGCACCACAAAGCAACAAGAGATAGAGAAGGTAAAGAGCGTATAAGAAAAAGGAGAACAATAACGAACAGAAAGTGTATGCGAGTAAAATAATAATAATTATTATTATTATGAGAGACAGTTCAGTTAACAAAAGTTCAACCAGAAAGAATTCTTTCAGTTAAAGAAGTTACGTCCATTTATTTATGAAAAAAGGAAAAGAAAGTTACAGCAGGATATCAACTGGCTTCTATTCTGAGTCATATCTGGTGATCTCTAAAGCCACCGTGTTGCACCATCCCTAGGAAACCAAATGACATACCCTCTCTGTGCCCTGATACAATTTGCCAAGCTTCTGCTTTGTAAATTAGTGTTGCCACTGGATGTCAACAATCCTTTGAAGACAACGATGATCGAACACATAGAGTCGTCTAACACCCTCAACTCGGACAGGCCAGGTTTCACAAGCATAGAGCAAAACTGCTCTCGCTGACACTTTGTAGATCCGACCTTCTACAGCCAGACTGACATCACGAAGGCGCCAAAGATGGTTCACATTGACATAAGCCGTTCTGACCTTCACTATACATGAATTGATCTCATCACTCATATCACCACCAGCACTTATGCAGCTACCTAGATACACAAACTTCTCGACTACTTCTATATGCTTACTACCCAGAGTGAGTGCAAGTTCAGGATCCTTTCAGTTTTGTAGAAGTACGTTGCACTTCGAAGGTGCAAAGCATACACCGTACCTACGGGCATTAATTACCAACTGATTAATTGAGAATTGCATGGCTTGGGTGTTATCACACAGTAAGACAATATCATCCGCATACTCAAAATCGAGAAGTCTTTCTTCAGGCAACAGATCCAAACCACTATTACCTATATCCATCAGAGCCGTTTCCAGAATGTCATCGATCGCAAAGTTGAAGGGGAATGGTGAGATTGGGCAACCCTGTCTAACCCGACTGCTTGAATGGAACAGTGAAGAGAGGTGGTCGTATGTCATAACTCTACCCGAGGTGTTTGTATATAGGGCTTTTAATATGTTGATAAACTTCTCAGTCACACCCTTCTTCAATAGACAGTCACAGAGAACAGTCCTGTCCAATGAATCAAAGGCGTTCCTAATGTCAATAAACACTACCAATGAAAAGTGAGATTAGTGCAAACAATAGTGGGGTTGATCAGAGACCAGATAGATTCTCCAAAACAAGTGAGTCTTGTACACAACTACGCCAGCGGTAGCTGATCGCGATGTGACCAATCTGAATTCAAGTTCGAGACGCGACCTAGCATACTGGTGATGACTGTGCCGGTAGTTAGTGTTAGGCAGAAAAAGGTTGTGGTCTACGCACAGATGTAGTAGACGGTCACTATTATCTGACCTGCGACCAACAGGTCCTCATTGGCCACCTAAACGACTCTATTCCCTGCCTATACGCCCGACGTGAGCATTCAAGTCTATGGCTAGTACCACAATATGTCGAACACACTTTCTGGAGAACAGTTAATCAGTGGCAAAACTCATCCTTGATCGCATCCGGGCTGCATTCTGTTGGAGCGTAAGTAGAAACGACAAAAAGACATCGTTCCCCACACAGATTTCTTGACATATTGATGAGGCTTTCTAATCTAACAGCACATAACCGACTTTTAATGGGGTCCAATCGATAAGTTCTGCCTCAGATTTAGTGCTTAGTGCGATACGAACTCCGGTAAAACCAGACAAAGATGCCACAGAGTCCCCGGATAAACGTATGTGAAACAAACTTTTCGAAGCGACAGATGCAAAGGGAATTTGTAGTACTTCACTAGTCTTAAATACGGGTCTCGGATAGAAAGCAGACATTGATATTGAGAATTTTTAAAGACAGCCAACCCTATCTGTTGTCCGATCTGCATTAGTTTGAGAACGTTAAAGGAAGCCAGCTTGAATGGCATACGTGGTTTCAGAAAGACTGTTTTAGTATTCGTAGTCGGTGGTAGCACTCAAGTTTCGACTAGTCAGTGACACGAGATCATTTAGATGGGACAGTGCTTCCACCGTAGGCAAGCTGCTGAATAAGTTGAAAAATAAAATACACAAAATGAGAATTAAGGGAAATACACAAGTGACGTAGTATAAAAGAAATGAAAGTGAGTGTCATCATGTAGTTGTGAATAAGATTTGTCTGTGTGAGCATTGAGGCAAAAGAACTTTCTGCAATAGTAGTTATCAATAATTTTTATGAGGGTTATGATACTGCCCGAACGCCTAAACCAAACTAAATGGTTTTCTTAGGGGGCCACACCCCAAGCCTTTAACCTAGAGATCCACTAGGCAGTGGAGCAAAGTTAAGAGATGCAGCCTCATGGTAGCAGGTGATCAACAATAGGTTCATATGCCATTTCCCCCCTTAAAATCCTAAATCCCATGTGTACCATTGGTTTGGAATCGGGGTTTTCCAGCTCCCCTAGGTGGATCCCTCGTGCCGACCAACCCGGTCAAAGCGCCGGACATTCGCCTTTCGTCCTCTCAATTTCGTAAACAATACCGCTGAGGAAAGACAGTCAGTAGGAATTCTTTGGCCGTGACTGGTCTAAATCAGATCGGTTCGGGATTTCAATGAAACTCAGCAATCGCCACAACCATATACTTACAATGATACCTAGCAGTTAGTAAAAATCTAGAAGATAATGAAATCAACTGTCAACTTAGACATAAATCATCTGAAATTTGAATGCAAAATAACGATAGGAAAGAAACCAAACTTTAGTAAATTTAACTGAGCGATAAATATTTCCCCCAAATGCATAATTTAAAGTCGCTCCTTCATAAGCTGAGCTGATGTATATTAATTTAACAATCCCACTTTTACCTATCCAACTGACAACATTTAGACCGATATTAAATTTTTTACCAATAAAAACCCAAGTTGCGAGTGATAAAACCACCAGAAAACTTTAACAATGCCATGATGCTACTACTGAAAATGCTGGCATCATCATTTAGACTGATATACTAACATAGAAATTATATCGTATTTCGATGATAATATTAATTTTAATCATTTTTACCTACCTATGTGCTCTCTCACGATCATGTTTGCGTTCATTCTCTTCACGATCTTTATGTCTTGATGATATATGGTCTCTATCTCTTTCTCTGCGTTCAGCATGAGGAGACTCTTCACGATGTCTACGTCGATGATGGTGGTCTTTTCCATAGTCTCGTCTCCTATGTTTTTCTTTATCCTTAGACTTATAACTCTCTTCAACATGATTCAAGGTATCCAGCTCCTCAACATATTGTAAATCTTCTAAATCCTCATTCAGAAGTGATTGTCGTGGTTCTAAACCATTTAGCTCCTCAAGAACTTCACGCTTTTGTAAACGAGGTAAAATAACATCACAGACACGTTCTTCAGTAAGAAGTTGATCAATAAAGTCATCCATGTATATTAAACTGAAATCTGTTACACACAGGAAAAATTTTCACCGTAACTTTTTGAGAAATGTAACCTACTTCCCATTTTATCTTGAAACTTGAGACGTCGAAAATCGTTATATAAAGTTTCAAGATATTTGTATATTTCAACAGAATCACCAACTAGTCTAAGATAAAATGCTCCTAAAGCACGAGCGTATCTGAACAACATAAAAACATTTTTACGAACCACAAACTAACTTGTATGGTTCCTGTTTGATAAATTCGATAACAATATCTTTGTCCGGCTGAATTTGAAGCATTTTTAATGTAAGACATAGAAAAGGGGTTGGTTTAACACTTCCACTATACACACCACCAACATAACGAAGTTCCACAGCTTTATCGACAAGTAATTCAGCTTTACATAAGACAAAGTAAAAGATGAATTCAATATACCTGTAAGAGCAAAGCAATGCTCTTTCCAGAATTTTGACTCATAAATTCGACTTCGAACGATTTTTTCCAAAAGATACTGAGGGTTTGTCCCATGAACTGTATGTGCATCTTTGACTGTGCGATTAGCCATGATATCGGGTAATGATACGCAAATAAATACTAGTAGAAAAAAGATACATTTAGTACTGCCCAGTAAGTGTATAAACAGAAATATCAAGCTATAACCAATACTACTCAACTTTCCCAAGATTCATAAGGTGGGATTAGGTTTGGAATTGTGAATATTCCGTTCGAACACATAAGTATGACGAGATCTATACAACTAACAATGATACATTTGATAATCTGGCTCCTTGTTCACACTTCAATGGTTGAAGACAAGAATACTAAGGGGATCGTCACATGCCACAGCACATTAGCACAACGAACTGAAACTAGTAAGATGTATACCAGAGTAGTAGATATGGTAATAGCAGCAGTAGCAGCAGAGAAGTTCGAGTATAGAAATATGACTCATTTTGGTTTGAGTGCTCTCTAGTTAAGCAAAGTTGAAACTCCCCTTCGGAAATGAAAAAAAACAAGGCAGTAATTTAGATCACTAAACATATATGAAGCTAGGTCTGTGTATCTACAAGTCAGGATCTACTTTTCGGTTTTAAGAGATTTCAGATAGGTTCGAAACAACTGATTAGTGACCTTATGGAATGACAGTAAAACTAATTAACATTCCCAAAGCAAAGAATGAAGGTGAGGGAAAACGTATCAGTACTTCTTGAGGATGATTTTACATCGACGCCAATGAACCTTTATTTATTTATTTAACACATAGATATTGGTACAAGGAGGCACCAAATACATATGCGCCACACAGATCTCACTTGATATGTGTGAGGGCTGCGATACTGCCCGGGTGCCTAAACCGAAGCAGGCAATGAACCTAGATAAGATCAATTGATTCTTAAACTTTTTGCAACCTGTGATCAGTAAATTTACTGATACCTTAAGATATACTTTAAAAATAACATTGAGAACCTTCTAGTCGTAGTCTGAGCATGATGATCCTTTGGGACACTTTTAAACGTATTACGATATACACCGGTCACCAATGTAGTAATAAGCATATGTTTATTCATGTTTTCACCATTTATGGATCAGATACCCAGGGAGTATTAAACTGGGGAGTCGATACCACTGTACACGGACAATTCGAAGCTGTTGACGGTTTAAGACCTTTTGGGTAATAACCTAACACATTCAAGTGACCGAAAATCGAGATAATTCTGTCTACAGAGGGATAGAATAACATATTTTTTAGTCTAACGACTGACCAACTTGGATATATTTGGAATATAAGACCGAAAGAAATAAGGGGAGTTACGACGACCTCAAATGGATATAAGGGACGAACTATGACAAAACGAACACACTGAAAAGGAAACCAAAACTACCGCTCGAGTATGTCTAGGTCTTCAAAAATCAAACCTAGAACTGTACATGATAGATTTAGCGAAGTATTTGTTCCTTAGAATCGATGTATTTTGGAAGGAGCATTCTAGGTAATGAAAAGTCATGGTTTTTGTTATTTTTCTTTTGAAAATAAAACGTAAAGCAGTATAGTTATTAATAGTGGAAGTAATTAAAGTAAATATGAATGATCATTCTTTGTACCTGCAGAATTCAACTTGGCGTCGACACCTGTCTTTGAAAACTTTGGGGAAGATGTCGTTATTATCGTCTCTGCCAGTGAGTTCCATAAACAATGATTCTGACTGCAGAAATATTTGTGAGTACTTTTGGGTTACCGCATTCGTGTTCTATCTTAAATAAATCTCTTCATCAGTATAACTGAGTGCCGAATTATTCTGTTGATCTGCTAGAGCGAAAAAGATTTGAGTGGTATGATATTTCGTACTTATATACCCCTTAATCTTTTTGTACTCCACAGGTTACAAGCATGGAGCTTCTAAGCGAGCTGAGTATGATTTACTTTTCCATCCCAGTATCTTTCAGTGGCCCTTTCTTTTATATGTCCCAACAGAGCGAAGTATTTTTTAAATAAAGAAGGCATGGCACAAATGATGATGTCTTTAATAAGAACTAAGGAATCAGGCTACCTCAGTCCCAACACAAATCTAAGGGGCAGTATCCAGAAATTAGAGGTGCAATGCACCAAACTGGATTGTAAGTACATCTCCTAGACTTAGTTGGTAGTCACGCATCCGAATTTTTTAACAGCTAAGGACGTCCAAGAAACTCCTAAGAAATCCCCCTAAAAGGAACTTGATTTATTCTTGGGGACATAACACAGTATTTCATACTACATTGTCAATATTCCCATTTTATTTAAATATATCGACGACTTTACCCAGAGTAATCAGTGATCCACTGCTACTAGACATAACCACTTAAACCTTAATTTCTGAAAGTAGACTTTAATACAGTATGATTTATTGACTACAGAAGATCAAGTGGAAGAGACACCTAGAGTATCACAAAGAATGATACCCAAGTCCTTTACAGTGTTAGACAGTGTGACACTGCTAACTTTCAGAAAGCACGAACTGGTTAGAGTATCATCTCCATTCACCATTACCATTCCGTACTTATTGAGAGTGAGGGGAAAATTCCTGCAGTCTGGCCGTATATTCTGTATAAGTCTTTTATTTGAGTCAATATATCATCTAATTCTTTCCAAATTTAGAGATCATCTACGTATGTCAGAGCCTGGGAATCTAAATTATCAATTAAATCGTTAATAACTGACAAAAAAGGAGTGATCTACTGACTTATCCTTAAAAGATTCAGAATGTCACTGAGAATCGATCAGATAGAGAAAAGCGAACTTATGTGATCAGTGATCTCCCCATGGGCGATCAACGTGGTATTTGATCGAATATTTCATGATGGTCTCTATTTAAAGTTCTGAATAGGGAATGTGATTCTCAACTTCCTCAAGTGCTTAATAAACGTTGAGGAAATCTTTACGAACAGGATGGTTGGGTCCCATTAATAGAGTCTTGTTATAACAGGCAGTTAGTAAGCTCGTGTGGAACGACATTCCAGAGAGAAACCAGTGTTGGGCAGTTGGTTACAGTGGGACTTTCTGAATTGTGCTTATGACATTCTCACTTGCTGAGAATAGGGCAATCTGTCTGTAATTGTAGACTATCGACTTACTACTCTGCTTGTGTACTGTCAGGATTACGACCTTGCCTACAGTATGAGGGTAGCTCACTCCCAGTTGAAAACTATACAAAGAGGTCAGTAGGGGGGAAGCAAATTATAGTCGCATTGTCTAATGGGATGTACATTCTCTGCCATTCTAAATGGTACTAAAGTTTATGATTTTTATCTATAGACTTCATTAAACAAAACTAATGATTTCTTCTATCACATTTGGTTTTCGCAATACATATGTAACGTAACATCCTTTGGTATGAGCAGTCATTGGAGCAACGTCATTTGTTCCAGGCAGCAGGCTTGTTCCTAATGAGTTACCGTATGCCGAACTTCAGCCAGGAGAGACTTGATCTATGATAAGAAAACGTATGTGTCGACAGATGGACCAGACGATTCCACTATTAGTCCAGGTGGACAGAGTTACATTCGTCTGGACAGGATACATCTTCAAATTCCAATCTAACAACGTCGTAACTTGCTTCGCAAACGTTTCGGTACCGGGTATATTCATCTAGTAAATTATTAACAACTATGTACAACGATATGAGTGTATGAAGTGATCAAAGGGCCATAAGACAAATAAGTTTGCAAATTCTGATACATGGTCAGAGAAAGTGTAATCTAAGCTGGAGGGACTTTGATGTAGTCTCGTCGGAATATTGAGCTACATTTTCTGGCAAGGTGAATTCTTGCATCAAACACTAGTATCAGTTATCAGTTTGAAACTATTGCCTAGGAAACACTGACAGCTTACTTACTTACTTACTTACGCCTGTTACTCCTCGTGAAGGAGCATAGGCCGCTCACCAGCGTTCTCCATCCAACCCTGTCCTGGGCAATCCTTTCTAGCTCCGTCCAGTTGTAATTCATCGTTTTCATATCTGCTTCTATTATCCGACGCAATGTGTTCTTTGGCCTTCCTCTTGTACTTTCTTGATTGTGGTTGTTGTAGTTCTCCAAGTTTCAGCTCCATACAGTAGAACTGCCTTGACGTTCGTATTGAAGATTCTCACTTTGATATTGGTTGAAAGTTGTTTTGAGTTCCATATGTTCTTCAATTGTAGGAATGCGACCCTTGCTTTACCGATCCTCGCCTTTACGTCTGCATCTGAGCCTCCTTGTTCATCGATGATGCTTCCCAGATATGTGAAGGATTCTACATCTTCCAGAGTTTCGCCATCAAGAGTGATTGGATTGCTGTTCTCCGCTTTGAATTTGAGGACCTTAGTTTTTCCCTTTGTGTATGCTGAGGCCTACTGATGCAGAGACTGCTGATACACTGGCTGTCTTCATCTGCATCTGTTCATGTGTACGTGATAGGAGGGCTAGGTCATCTGCGAAGTCCAAATCGTCTAATTGGTTCTGAGCTGTCCATTGTATTCCGTGTTTTCCTTCAGATGTTGAGGTCCTCATAATCCAGTCGATTACCAGGAGAAAAAGGAAGGGAGAGAGTAAACAGCCTTGTCTGACTCCGGTCCTTACTTGGAATGCATCTGTCAGCTGTCCTCCATGCACTACTTTGCACTGTAGTCCGTCGTATGAGTTCCGGATTATATTGACAATCTTCTCAGGAATTCCGTAGTGTCGAAGAAGTTTCCATAACGTCCTCCTGTCTACACTGTCGAATGCCTTTTCATAATCAATGAAGTTGATGTATAATGATGAGTTCCACTCAACTGATTGTTCGACGATGATCCGTAGTGTTGCAATTTGGTCTGTGCATGACCGATCCTTACGGAATCCAGCTTGTTGATCTCGAAGTTGGGCGTCTACTGCATCCTTCATCCGGTTTAGCAACACTCTGTTGAAGACTTTCCCTGGTATTGACAGTAGTGTTATGCCTCTGTAGTTTTCACATTTGCTCAGATCTCCTTTCTTTGGAATCTTGACGAGGTGTCCTTCTTTCCAGTCCATCGGAACTTGTTACTCCTCCCAAATCTTTTTGAATAGAAGATAAAGCATGCTTGTGGTTGTTTCGATGTCTGATTTCAGTGCTTCAGCTGGTATGTTGTCGGGTCCTGCTGCTTTTCCGTTCTTGATTTGTCTGACGGCCATTCTAATTTCTTCCATAGTTGGTGGATTGACATCTATAGGAAGATCTATGTGTGCTGCTTCGACGTCCGGTGGATTCATTGGAGCCGGCCTATTCAGGAGTTCCTCGAAGTATTCTACCCATCTGTTTCGCTGTTGTTGAATTTCGGTGATTGACTTGCCTTCTTTGTCTTTGACCGGCCTCTCTGGTTTACTGTATTTCCCTGATAGTTTCTTCGTTGTATCGTAAAGCTGTTTCATGTTTCCTTCTCTAGCAGCTTTTTCTGCCGTCGTTGCTAGTTCTTCCGCGTATTTCTGCTTGTCGGCTCCAATGCTTTTCTTCAGTTGCTTGTTTGCTTCTATGTATTCAGCTTGTGCTTGGACTTTCTCTGCTCGTGTTCGGCTGTTGTTTATTGCTGCCTTCTTGTTCTTCCTTTCTTTGATCTTGTCCACTGTTTCTGTAGAGATCCATTCCTTATGATGGTATTTCTTTAGACCGAGAACCTCTTGACACGTTGAAGTTAATGCTTCCTCGATGCCTTTCCAGTTGTCCTCCATAGTAGTTTCTTCTTCTTTCAGTAGATCTCGTAAGGCTTGGAACCTGTTGTTGAGAGCTATCTTGAATTCATTGAGTTTGACAGTATCTCGAAGGAAGGCTGTATTGAACCTTTGTATTGCTGTTTGTCCACTTGTCCAGTTCTTTTTTAGCTACAGTTTCAAATTGGCTACAACTAGGTGGTGATCTGAAGCTACGTCAGCACCTCTCCTGGTTCTCACATCTTCCAATGTCCTTCGGAATTTTTTGTTGATGCAAATATGATCTATTTGGTTCTCTGTAGTGTGGTCCGGTGAGATCCATGTAGCCTTGTGTATACGCTTGTGTGGAAATATTGTGCCTCCTATGACCAATTTGTTGAATGCGCATAGATTTGCAAATCTTTCTCCATTTTCGTTTCTTTCTCCCAGTACATGTCGTCCCATAATATCTTCATATCCAGTGTTGTCTATTCCGACTTTGGCATTTAGATCTCCCATTAGAATGGTGAGGTCCTTTCTTGGGCATTTCTCTATCACTGACTGCAGCCGCTCGTAGAATTGATCTTTAATGTCGTCGTTGCTATCATTGGTGGGTGCATAACATTGGATAATATTCATTAAGATCCCCTCCTTCTTTGTTTTGAATGATGCTTTGATGATTCTGGATCCGTGAGATTCCCATCCTACAAGTGGATTTCGTGCTACTTTGGA